GTACCATTACTACTTCCACAGACACATATATAGATATGTCATGACAATATTTTGTGGCATACTTAAAAGGATTGCACAACACACTAGCATGCCATGGCATGGCAGATGAGAATCACTGGAATAGAGTACCATTTTTATAAACACTTACTATGGGTTAAATAGCAGAGTAGACTGGCCTCCTCTGCCTTGAGTGGGCAACCAATCTAAAAAAAGGAAAACTCTGAATTTCAAACTGTGAAGAAGGGTAACCATTTTAGTATCTCTGCCAAGAAGTCAAGACAATTCATAAAAAATAAAAGAAGGGAGCTTGTGGAGAACCATGATCCTCTACATACTTCAGGAACATGGTGTTTAAAAAAATCTTGTCAGAATAGAGTGTCTTTTCTATAAACCTGAACACATACTGAACATGTTTAGCTGTTCTGGTTGTTGATTTTAGACTCACTACTTCTATTATTTATATTGTTTTATTTATAGAGATATACATATTTTATAGAACTAAGCATTTTTCCTTCCTTTCCCAAACATTGCTGGAATAGGCTAACAGATGTTTTTGATTACCATTTTCACACATTTGTTTGGCAATTTTGCAGAGGTTTGTTTAAACAGAGATCCCTTAGATTCAACATAATCGGAAAAGCTACGTTTATCCTGTCTACTTTTCTTATAATGCAAATCATTAGTATCGTATTCTTAATCTTGTGCTTCAGTAGCAAAAGCGACAATCTTCACAGAATTTAGGTCATAATGGTCCAATGCAGTTGCTGCTTTCAACACCTAAAGTTGTACATTGCCAAAAATCTCAGAGACAATCTGCAGATGTCTTCAGTGGAAACTGAATTTACATTACTGTAAGAAGAAAAAGAAATCATCCAATTTTTCTCCTGATAATTAAAACAGCATTGCCTGTAATAACTAATTATAATTCCATTTTCTTTTGTTGCTTTACCTGAGTAGTAATTATGAAGAATATAAAGATCTTACTTTCCTTGTCTCTCTTCAGCTACAAATAGGGTTATAGCCACATCACATTGTAATAGGGTCATTAAATTTAAGCAATGTCGTGCCTTGTCAGTACCTAGATGGGTGACTGCTTGGAAATACCAGGTGCAATAAGCTTGGATGTGCAGATGGTGTAATGAATAATGGCTCAGAATTGTTAATTGAAGTGCTGAGTTCTAATTTCAGTTGGGTTTGTTATATTCACTTACAAGCAAATACACTTAGGAAAGGTATATAATCCACCTCTACTCCCCCAAGCTATGGGTTAATTAGTAAAGCTTACATCACTAGAACATTATCATCTCCCCCAAAAATTCTTACAATCTGAAAATATTTTCTGGCTTTAAATAACCTTCAAAGGGTTGGTAAGCTGTAAAAAACAAATCACTGAATCATTATTACAAGTAGGAATGTTTGTCCATGAGTTTGGGATGAATTTTAAATACTCAGTGATTTTTAAAAAAATTATTTATCTATTTGAGGTTGGAAGGATTCATTTTTATGGCATTCTTTTTTTTTGTTTTTGTTGTATTGTACTTGTAATAATGTTTCAACTGGCTCATTCTGCAGCCTCACTTATATGAAATTTTCTCCTGTGGCCATATTGTTTCCAGCAAATCCTTGGCATTTTTAAAACAATAATTTAACCAAAAACATACATATAGGATATACACTTGAAATACCTTCAGAATACTTCTTTTGTGACCTTATACTGTTATCCCAGTATCTCTTCCATGTTTCAAAACAGACATTCTCCTTTGGGATCAGCATCAGGGGGATTATCTCATTCCTTCCAGTTTTCAAAACAGACTAGAAGGTCCTCTTTTGGGATCAGCATCAGGTGGATTATTTTATTCTCCTTAATCTTGGAATCTCAAATACTTATCCCAGCATTCCTTCCAGTTTTCAAAACAGTCTAGAAGGTCCTCTTTTGGGATCAGCATCAGTTGGCTTATCTTATTCTCCTTAATTTTGGAATCTCAAATACTATTCCCAGCATTCCTTCCATTTTTGAAAACAGTCTAGAAGGTCCTCTTTTGGGATCAGCATCAGTTGGCTTATCTTATTCTCCTTAATTTTGGAATCTCAAATACTATTCCCAGCATTCCTTCCATTTTTCAAAACAGTCTAGAAGGTCCTCTTTTGGGATCAGCATCAGGTGGATTATCTGATACTCATCCCAGATTTTCAAAACAGTATAGAAAGTCCTCTTTTAGGATTGCCATCAGGTGCCTATTCTTCTTAATCTTGAAATCACAATATCTTATCCCAGTGTCCTGTTCACTTTTAAAAGCAGTTTGCTCTCTGATGTTGATTCTGAAACATCTTTCAGCATCACCATCAGGGGCCCTTTTGAATTCACTTTAATCTTGTTCACAGTCAGCAAACACATTAGGAAGTGTCAGAATTGTTGAGCCAAATCTGGAGTATTTTTGCCATTGCCATTTTTATCTTTTATATATTTATCTGTCATGCATCCTGATCTTCCTTATTTGAGTTGAGATATTCTATTGTTGTGGTAACAGATACCAGCCATTTGTGTCACTATAACAATGATAATTAGTTCATACATTGTTTCTTTTATTTTGTGCTAGCTGTCTTTGAATATTTTTATTTTTCATCATTTAAAAAGCAGAATAATACATGCTCAATAACTGGCAAAAATTCCGTACAACTGGAGATTTTATTTAAAGTGAATGATGGCTTATTTTAAAAATGCCTACAAAAAATATGAGTAACATATTTAGTTTCTATTCTTAAGAAATACATGTTATCTTAGGAAATCAAATATACAACTGGGCACTGAAAAGTTCTGCCCCTAAAAATCAGCATTCTGATGCTTGATCTTAAAAATACTTATTTGGACATGTGAGTCAGGCGAAGAACTTTTCATCTCATATCTATGTTTTTTTTTTACCATAAGTCTTCCTTACATTTCCTTATTCTTTTTCTTCTCTGACTTTTTTCTTTTGCATTCTCATCTTACCAAAACAACTTATGTCACCATTTTGAACCAAGAGACAACATGTGTTAAATTATTAAATGGTGAATAGAATCTTATTTGTTTTGTTAAATATTCAACAAGTATTAAAGAGAAACAAGAAAATACAAAGCTGCACTTAGCTTGATTGTTTCTAAGTAGAAAGCAATTGCAAGATTAAACATTACTTACATTTTTTTTACAAGAAGTTATTGTTTATTTACTAGCATAAGACATATCAAAAATGAATAAATCATACGAAATATCTATCTATCTATCTCTCTCTCTCTCTCTCTCTCTCTCTCTATATATATATATATATATATATATATAAGATAGGAAAAAGAGAAAGTAGGAAACAGATCTTAATCTAACACGTTTCACTTTACTAAAGCTTTGTCAGAGATCAAGATAGGAATGATAAAAGTCAAAGAGACGCAGATTAATTGTATGTTGTGTTTGGGTAATTCTTATTGCTTAGATACATGTAACATGTAATGAAGTTACAGATAATATTTAAATATGTGTGGTAAACATTCTCAACACTAAAGTGTGTAAAAGTTAGTAAGATACAGTACGATGTTTTGATTGGATATGCGTCACATGTAAGGAAGTAATAGATAATATTCAAATAAATTAAAGTAAGTATATATATATATATATATATATATATATTTATATATATATGTGTGTGTATATATATATATATAGTTAGTTTATGAAAAACTAGGTAATCCGTATGGGTAGACCCAAGGAGGATAAAATCCAGAGAGCTCAATGTAAATCCAGAGCAAATAATTTAAATAAAAACAGACCACTTTAAGGGTTCCATGTAATAAATTATTTCACCACAGCCCTTTTAAAGGACTGCGAATCATCAGACTTTACTTCCAAAGGTTGAAACAAAAAAAAAAAAGAAAAAGTAAAGTCTGATGATCCGCAGTCCTTTAAAAGGGCTGTGGTGAAATAATTTATTACATTGAACCTTAAAGTGGTCTGTTTTTATTTAAAATATATATATATACATATATAAAAAGTATATTGGGCATACCACTACATGCCTATCTAGAAAACTGACATTGCACATCTCTGACCTTTTTCAATTAGAACTAATTTAAATGCATGCAGATACCTACCAATCTCCATCCACAACATACTTGTAGCAAATACAAGTATAATAGCCTCATCCACATATGGTTTTTTTAAAAAAACAAACTATTAATTAAAACCTAGATATTTTAAACTATTCACTGTAAATATTTTAAAACAGTTGTGCAGTAAAAACCACATGGACATTTCAAAACCTGGTTACCTCCGCAGATGTTAACATTGTGAAATTTAAATTGTACAGTAAATAACCTTACCATTTTTCACTTCACAGTTAAAATATTTAACTTTCAGATGACACAACAATTTTGTCTTAGAAGAAACAACACTCTGATGCTTGTGCTAATGTCTAAAGTACTTGAATAAATGAATATGTATCAACATGGTAATTTTCTCTCTTCCTTTAATAAGGATACTAAGAAGCTTGTCCATGAATATGAACGGATCCTATTAAAAATAAGTAGACAAAATTGTCTAAATTATTCAATGAGACATGTCTTAATGAAAACATCCTGCCAAAATATATGCAATATATATATATATATATATATATATATATATATATATATATATATATATGTGGTGGGAGGAGGCATGGTGGAGTAATAGATAGCGGCTTGGATTGAGGGATCGGAGAGCTGAGTTTGAATTCCAGTCGATTCCAGTTACATTCACTTATGTGCTAATACCCTTAGGAAAGGTATGAATCCTCCTCTTCTCCCTCCAGCTATGGGTAAAATAGCAGGACAGACTGGGTTCTGTAGCCTTGAATGGCAACTGGTCTAGGAGAATGACAACTCTGAATTCAAAACCTGCAGAGGGTCGTTATATATATATATATATATATGTATGTATATATGTATGTATATATGTAGATAGACTGATATATATGTATTTATTTTTAAAGTAGTTAGATAGATAGATAGATAGATAGATAGATAGATAGATATTTATTTTTAAAGTAGATAGATAGATAGATAGATAGATATTTATTTTTAAAGTAGATAGATAGATAGATAGATAGATAGATAGCTACCTACCTAGATAGATAGATAGATATGAATTGGGACCAAATACAGATCAAGTATGAATCAGAATCTAGAAAAATGATAGGATAAAGAACAAATAGGAGACATTCATCAATATAGAATGTTTCACTTTTATTAAAGCTTCATCAGAGAATGAGATATTAACAAAAAAAAGAAGAGAGAAATTCTGGTATTTTTATTTTTGTGCAGGTTAATCAGACTTCACATGCATTTATACTAACAATGTTAGTATAATTTATGGCGTTCCAAATTGAAGGAGAGATGACATGTCGTTTGAAGCTCCAAGAAATTAATGGATTCAGTCTAGCTGAAAAAAACATAAATATTGCTCTATATATGTAAGTGTATCAGAATTCAAGTTTGTCTATATAGGATTCAGATGATGATGTATATTTATAAATATGTGTGTATGCCTAATAGACATTATATTTGGTGGTTGTCCACCTTTTGATTTGGGAACGTTTTTATATAAAGACTTCTTGTTTTAAATAAACATATGTTAGATTCTTTAAGAATGGATACAATAAAGGTTGGTGATGTAATATAGTTTTTGATGTCTGTTTATAATTGGTAAAAAGTAACTGTAACTAAGAACTTTCTTGCAGGAAAGAACCATGTAACAGTTATTTCAAGACAGTAGCCATGAACAAAACTTATCCAGAGGAATAGAGGATGCAGCGGAATCAGACCATGATGAGTTAGAAGCCATTGTTAAAGTGCAAGATAAATAACACAATCAGAATTAATAAAGTTTGCAAAAAAAAAAAAAAAAAAAATCAGAAAGATGAAGCAGCAGCAATCATGCAAGCAAACAATATAATTAAAGCAAATCAAAATTGATAAAAACACAAAAGAATTCACAAACTAGGAGTTGCACAAAAGCAAGGTTGACTGAGCAAACACAGTATATCTGTCTAGTAGTTAAAACAGATCTGGAACAAGTCATGTCAAAATGCAAGCTGTCCCATTTTATTGGCTAAAAAATATCCCAGCATGCATTTTGTGTCCTTCTGACTATAAGAGGGGAAAGGGGAAAATTTTTGCAATCATTCCCCCCATTGGGAAATCAACAGACTGGAAATAGGACAAGAACAGTGTGGGTTCATCAAAAACAGTGGAACAAGGAATGCAATATTTGTGCTCAGAATGATATCAGAAAGAGCAATAAAAATGAAGAACCTTTGTACCTGTGTTTTACATATTATTCAAAAGTGTTTGATAAAGTACGTCACAAAAAACAGTTGGAGCTGCTAGGTAACCTGACATATTTGGGAAGTGTATTTGAATAATCCAGAATGTAGACTGGCAGCAAACTGCCTGCATATAGAAAGAAAATGAATTCAGTAAATATACAAAAACAGAAAGGAGTGTAAGACAAGGATGTGCCTTCTTGCCAGACTTATTCTACCTATACAATGAGGCAATACTGAGAGAATATGAATCCTAGCAGGGTTCATTCAAGGAAACTAATCGAATGAAATCTTGTAAAATAGTTAGAGATTTGAAAGGTTTAATGAACAGAGTGCATAGCAGAATCAAAGTGTAAATAGGACAAGAACAGTGTACGAATTTTAATAAAACCTAAACATATCAAAGTGAATTTATACATTTTCTTTGTTCTTGAAAATTGACAACAAAAATAATAAACACTATTAGATTGTTTGTTTCCACTATTTATTTATTGTTTAGTGAAATAATTGGCAAAACACTGGTTAATTGCCAATTGATTTAAACTTTATAAAATGATAAATAATAAGGATTTCCTTATAGTTGGTTCATATATTTTAATAATTTAATAAATGTTTATAAATTTATGACTAAAAAAAATTTTCATATTTATTTCTTTTTAAATTATAAATGATAAATATTGCATCGCATTAATTTTAATACAATTGTATTAGTTTTAAGAATGTTGTAAATATAAAATTATTCTTGTAAATAAACAATCTAATAAAAAAATAGTGTTTTATATTTTTTCTTTGTAAATTGTCGAAAAAAAAAATGTATAAATTTATGTTTATCATATGTTTAGGTTTTATTACAATTCCAAATTCTAATCATTCTAATCAATTCTAATAAACATTGCCGAGGAGTGAAGGTAATTAAAACAATAGCAGTGTCAAGGAAAAAGCTTAATTTTGTCACTGTTTTTTTGCAGGCACCAAGGTGTTACATTTCCAAAGTTACATTCAATTTTTTGTATATCATTCAAGGAAAATGATTGTAAGAAATCTTACAAAATAGTTAGAGATTTGAAAGGTTTAATGAAAAGAGTGCATAGCAGAATCAAAGTGTAAATAGGACAAGAACAGTGTGGGCTCATCAAAGACACTGGAACAAAAAATACAATATTTATACTCAGAATATTATCAGAAAGAGCAATACAAATGCAAAAGGACATGTATCTTTGTTTATAGATTACACAAAGGCATTCAATAAAGTACCCCACAGATACCTTTTGGAACTGCTTAGCAACCTTGACATATTTAGGAAGGATATTAGAATAATCAATGACCTATACTAGCAGCAAATTGCCTGCATATAAACAGAAAATGAGTTCAGCAGATATACAAAAATAGAAAGGAGCATAAGACAAGGATGTGCCTTCTCACCAAATTTCTTTAGCCTAAACAGTGAGGTGATTCTGAGGATAGAAAAGAAACTAAAGCAACTCATACAGAAGGTAATGAAGGAAGGCAAGAAGAAAGGAATAGTTGTTAGCAAAAGGAACAGCCCAACGTGCAAATTACAAAGTACAAGAATTTAAATATCTGGGAAGTTTTTTAACAGAAGATGGAAAGTGTGGCAGTGAAATCCAAAGGAACAATGGGATAGTGAAAGATGTCTTCCACAAGTTGAGCAAAGTATTAAGAAACAGAATAAGTTCATTAGAAAAGAAGAAAAAAGTACTTAATTACAATTTGCTAACTCAAAATATTAAATTTTATATATTTTACATTTCATGAGTGTTTTCATCTTCAGAAACAAAGAAAAATATTGAAATCTTTTGTAATATCAGTCCTCCTATATGGGAGTGAATGCTAAACTTGTAGCAACAGAAATTTGGTTCTACAGAAGGATGCTGAGAATAGCATAGAGCAAATATGTGACCACCAACAAAGTTCTAGAGAAAATCAACAAAAAATACACTTATACTTAACATCAGGAAAAGATATTTGAAATTTCTAGGGCACATAATGAGGAAAGATGGCATGGAAAACTTGATACTCTAAGTATCAAATTTTCCATGAGAGACAGCAGAAAACAATGCATAACCTATCTGGCGAGCATGACGGACGAGATGGTGGAGCAGGTTTTAGGAGCTAGGGTGAAAAGAGTAAAAACTTAATGAGAGCTACAAGGGACAAGAAGTTGTGGAAAGTCATGAATGGACATGGCACAGAAGAAAGCCATGCATCAAAATGAGTAGGCAGTCATCATATATATATATATATATATATATATATATATATATATATATATATATATATAGACACACATTATATCTATACACATGTATAAATACATACAAATATATATATATACATACATACATTATACATAGATATTTTTTAAAATTATTTTGATGAAATGTTATTCTAGATGGATACTCTTATTTGAGTAAATGCTCTGTTTACTTAATTAAACGTTCTTTTATTTTAATTACATTTACCAACCTGAATACTTAAGAAATCTTGTCAGAAAATATGTATCCTCTGGCAGGATTCAAAACTGCATCCCCTATGAGTAAGCGTCATTAGATCTGATGTGCTGAACTGTTTTGCCACGTAGGACTTCTGGTTAAGTGCCTGAATGGTTAAGCATGTCAGATCTAATGATTCACACTCACACACACACACACACACATGCTTATATATATACATATATATATATATATATATATATATATATATATATATATATTCAGGTAGCATCCGAGATTAAAAATATAATGCGAATTTAAATATGTTTTTTTTTTAAATGTGTTATTGATACCGGATACAAACTTGTGGAGCATGCATTTGCAACGCTAAGGTTGAAGTTTTTCAACCTTAGCATTGCGACTGCACACTCCACAAGTTTGTATTCGTTATCAATAGCATGTTTAAAATTTATATATATATATATATATATATATATATATATATATATATATATATATATATATATATATATATATATATATATATATTGCATGTGTGTGTGTTGAGGATTTTAGATTTAGACATGAAGAATTATTATGAAAATTATACAAATCCCCAAATTACTAATCATATATAAGTGATTAGTAAGAGGGGGAATATACACACGCATATATACACGCATGCTGACAGAAACACACCAAAATGGAAACATATCTAAGAACACACAGGGGTCATTAAAACATTAAAAGATAAAATGCCGATAAGTAATTCATCATTTCTCTTGGACCAACCTTAATTGTTTTATGACCCTTCCCGCAGAGCTCTTCACTGCCAATTCAAGAAAGACATTCGGATTACTCACACAAAAACAGAGAATGTCTCATATCAAGAATATTTAACATTGAAAAACATAAGGAAAAATTAATTATTTTTAATAATATGTGGAACTCTCCGCTTTTACCTGAAGACGGTTGCGAGACCAGAAACATGTGTAGTAAAATTATGGAAAATAAAGCATAATATTTTTTTTTTAAAAATCCACATTACAACCAATCTTTTTAATATACACACTTTTCTCTCGTTGGAACCACTATAACCTCTTTCATTTATTTATATATATATATATATATATATATATATATATATATATATATAAAACTGATTAGTAATTTGGAGATATATATATATATATATATAAAACTGATTAGTAATTTGGAGATTTATATATATATTTTTTCTTTTCAACATCATCACTTGATAAGACACAGAGTGTGTTGAAACAAAATGGCTATTTTTGTAGTGATTTTATAACATACTTATGTTATAATTTTTTTATAAAAAAT